AAAAAAAAAAAAAAAAAAAAAAAAAAAAAAAAAAAAAAAAAAACCAACAACAGGATACCTCTCTTTTTGATACAATAAATTGTGATCGTCGAAAGTCGACTAAAACTCGTTAATATTCTATAGCCGAGATTAAATATTCTAGACGATTATTTCTCTTATTAAATCAACGTATGATGTTAATTGCAATGTCTTGTCAATAGTTTAATTGTCGCTTGTATTGTCTCTACTGATCCTCGCGAATCCGGCTTGAAAAACTATAGTTATAACTATAAAATATTTATTGCGATAAAAGAATACACTTAATGCATAGTCATCTCAATTTAAAATTAATACATAACTAGAGCTTGGATTATGCGCCGACTAATGTAGCAATTTGAATCACCGCGTTCACGATTCTCTTCGACTAGATGTGGAAATGCTTGCCATTCGACAAAATATGACGTAGTAACCAATTAACATGTTAGGAGCTATAAGCTTATTGGCTACTGTGTCATATTTTGTCGCGCGATAGGCGTTTTCGCATCCAGTGTGCAGGAAGCATAAGGGCGCGATTACACCTTGGCAGAAAAGTAAAAAGCAGAAAAGTCAGTTACAACTCATACTAGTAGTCGACTATTTCAATTTTCTCCACTGCTTACTACAGACATACGGCACGCGGGCAATATTACCACAATTTAAAAGCTGAATGTAGAAATCTAAAAAATATACTATAGGTTGTTACCAATTAAAAAAAAAAAAAAATTTAGTGCAATTGTAAAAAGATTAAGAGTCGAACAGGAGATACTATGGAGATCTCTAGTTGAAGACGAATTTCTTTATGCTGAAATTACGGCTAAAATACTGGATGAATTGCGTTTTAATTGCGATATTTATAATCAGAAAAGTACCTAATCGTACAGAGCAATTTTTTTGGAAAAAGGGCCAAATAAAAATTTGTTCTGATATCTCATCCGATGTGTACTATAGTGCACTGAAAGAAAAGATTGGCTGCTGCAGCAAATTAGATAGCATAGCATTTTTAATTGGCTGCAGCAACCAATTTTTAATTGCTGCAGCCAATTGTTGGTTGTGTTATTTCCGCAATGTCAGTGTCAGGATTTCGATTGGCTAACGTAATCAAAAATTGACTGCTGCAGCCAATTAAAAATGCTATGCCATATTTAATCATCTAATTTGCTGCAGCAAACAATCTTTTCTTTCAGTGTTCAGTTCAGGTGTATATAGTTTTATTATTAAAAAATTTTCAAGAGTCAATTTGCAAATTTCGGTTCTGTATGCGTCTTTGTAGCTTTAAAAAAAAAAAAGATTTTATAACGTAATATTACTTCTTGGAGATATAATATCAACACGTATCTGCACCGTAATAAATAAGGAGACTACTATTTTATTCATTAAATTGTTTTTAAGAATGAAATTGCAAAATTTGATTCTTTAATAGGCCCCATAGCTTTGTTAAACATAATAAGTTTCATGGCAAAATATTTATTCTACTACATCGAAAGAAAAGATTGACTGCTGCAACAAATTAGATGATAAAATATGGTATGATATTCTTACTTCGCTGCAGCAGTCAATTTTTGATTGCATTAACCATTCTGAAAATGAGGTTGGCATTTCTCGAAACTTCTTGCGCTAGTAATTGACAGTTAATAATTGACAGTTAATCGAGGTTAAAATATTATTTTCATATATGTGTTTTACAGTTATTTTATAGGAAAATATTTCGTTATAAAGGCTAATTCACTAATTCATAACTAACTGATAATTATTTTATATTAAAAAGAATGCTTTAATTTTAATATCACGAATTATGTGATATGAATTATATGATAAGAATTATATGATAAAAAAGTTATGTTTTAATATTTTAAACGTTATAATTATATTAAATTAACATTATTAATACATATTTATATTATTGTATCAATATCTTTAAAAAAAACATCTGCGTATTTTTTTATTATAATGTTAAATAAAAATTTTAATACTTAATATAAGATTAGTGTTGTGTTAAATAAAATAAATACTGTACTGAATTAAAAAAAAAATATTTTTTATAAATTAATTTATTAATTTACGAAGAGAACTATGTTATATGTTGAATAAATTTAGTGGATGACGTTATTTATATATTAATACATTTATATATTAGTATCGTTTTTTTATTATATGTATATTTTAGTATATATTTTCAAATATAT